TAGAAAGAGAGGAGACAGGGGCAACATGTTGGTTTGCTGTTGTTGAGACTATTTAATGCAAACAGCTGACAATATATAGTCTTAGAAGACCATTCTGACCTCTGCTGGTCCACTCAGAGAAACCAACCAGAAATCTATCAATTAGACCTTGCGGACCTTCCCCTTGTCCAAAGGGAGCAGGGAAAATCTGCACATGTAGAGTGGTTCCCAAGCACAGAACAAAAGTTCACCATGTTCCCCTTAAATGGTCTATCGATTCATTCAAGGAATGTCACTTGGGTGACTGTCCAACTTACTTGTATTTCAGTCACATATAAAGACTTCATTTCTAGCGTCGAAATTTGCCCCTGCGGCTGCTCAGGTCCTAGTTCAAGTTACGGAATATCCTCTCTCCGCCGGATGCCAACCCCCACCCTGTCACCTTTCCACGACTTAGCCCTCAGTCCCTTCCCTTCCAGCTTCACAGCTGTGGCCTGGAGAGTTTGCACTTGAGGGAGATACCACACTGGGTTGAATACAGAAGTGCAAAACATGACTTGCCAAGGCCTTAAAACGTCTATTGAGGAAGAAGTGAAAGGGTTGAAAGCCATTTCCCCTTAAAAGGAAGGGCCTCCATTGCCTGTAGCACCACAGTGTTGGGCGTAAATATGTTATAAACAACTGGTAGCCCCACAGGCTTCCAAATATTCTTTTCTTTGTTCATATTTGCAAACTGAAAGGCGTACTCAAATTAAAAAGATGAAAGAGTCACATGTTTCAATTTCCTTTCCATTGCACTAACAAAAGCATGACTTACCACAGTAGCAGTTCGCCACTAACACCGACGACAAATACCAAAATTAAAACAGGCCATTCCACAGCCAAGGAACTGTGGCCCCAAAGGAAGTTAGCAAAATGATGGGAAAATTCAGCAAAATGAGTGGGTGGTGTCTTCTAAAAGGAGACTGTGGCAATCTGTCCCCTTAGACTTACAATGCTGTAATTGCTTATTTAGGAAAGGACACTGCCAAGCTGCTAAGGTTCAAAAAGCCTTTGAATGAAATGAACAGTTTCAAAGCACTCCTTACTGGAGATCACTTTTCTCCACCGTCTTCCTTTAGAAGTAAATTACATCATCAGAAAGGCATGACTGCTTTTGTCGTTCTTCAGCAGAACCAAGGCTGAGAAACTTGATTAAAATAGGTAACAAAGGAAATACCAGTAAGCCACACCAAAACAGCCAGCAGCAGAAAAGGGAAGCAGTTTTCTTAAGCCAACTTTTGAAGCCTAGGATTTTATTTGTAAATACTAAAAAGCTGTCTTCTAAACATTAGGGGCAATTAATAGACTCAACATGGGCAAACATGTGCTTGCTCCATGGCCAACTGAAAGGAGACTTGACTTAGGACTTCCTTATCCTACCCCCGTTTGACACTAGAACAGAACCAAGGCCAAGACTCATCATCCAGAAACTCAAAATCACATTACAGCGTAAGGAAACCACGCTCCGATTTCCTGCTAGCGGACTGCAGCGGTCTGTGAATAACTCAGAGGAGGAATTTCTCCACAGAAGCTGGTGTTTGGTCAAGCAGAGAACGAAAGGCCAACAGAACAAGCTGTCCTAAAAGGAGACACCATTCTGAGGAAAGTTTTGTTTTGTGTATACAGGGCTGGACCACTTTTATCAAGTCTGACGGCAACAAGAGGGCTCCCTATCTATAAAAAAACTGTTCTGCTTCAGAGTAAATAGCGCTATCTCTGCCCAGCGTTTGGTGTAAGTAGATGGTTTACGGGTATGCACTACCGGCAAAGCATCCCTCACGCTGGTGCAGCTTACCTGGGCTCTCCCAGACCTTCTTCCAGGCTCCCCACACCAAAGGGGGAAGCTAAAACTTCTTTGCACCGCCCGGCTGGCATAACCACGCCAGCAAAACACAACGGTGACGACCTGAATTAAGGCACTCGCTATATCCCCCGGTATCAGTGATCCACGCCACGTTTTGGGGGCTTGGGGGCTGAGGGTTTTTTTTTTTTTTTTGGCTAAATATATTTTGGTCTGGTTATAAAGAAAGAAAGCACGCTAAGCAAAGTACCCATTCCAATAGGCAAAACCTATGGCCAAACCAGGCCTGGGACAAAACACGGGTGGATATAACTGTTCCCCCGTTTCAACTTTCACACTCGGGCTAGAAGAAAAAGCCGTCTACAACCTCCTTTGTTCCCTAAAGTTTATCTTACAGAAGCAAGCGGGCTCTGGGCTTCCCCTCCTCAGCGACGGAGGAACAAAAGCAGAGGAGCTGCTGGCCGGGGCGGG